ATAAGTACTACACAGAGTTACTGAGCACAAACTATTTAAACCTGAATTGGAACAGAAACTTTTTCTATATAAATAAACCACATAAGTACTACACACAGTTACTGAACACAAACTATTTAAACCTGAATTGGAACAGAAACTTTTTCTATATAAATAAACCACATAAATACCACACAGAGTTACTGAACACAAACTATTTAAACCTGAATTGGAACAGAAACTTTTTCTATATAAATAAACCACATAAGCACTACACAGAGTTACTGAACACAAACTATTTAAACCTGAATTGGAACAGAAACATTTTCTATGTAAATAAACCACATAAATACCACACAGTTACTGTTTAAACTTGAATTGGAACAGGAACTTGTACTTTTTTGTATAATTTGCAGCCTGGAGTTTGAAGAATGAAAATGTCCACTGTGTGCTTATGGGAGCTTCTACTCCAGAGCAGCTGTATGAACATCTTTATGCTCTCCAGGTAAAGCAAGCCGAGAAGTAAAGTTAGTAGTTTTTACTTCATTTTGTTAGTTGTATTTACATGCAATATCATTAGCATCTGTTCAAATTTCCATATTTCTTCAGGAACAGAATAAGGAATAAGCACAAAACTAAGGCTATTATAATTATATAAATGTATGTGTGGATATTCTTAGATCATTCTTTATTAGTTCAAGTCAGGTAGACTGAAATACGGAAAGAATTTGCTTGTTGTTGCTTTCATGTTGTCAATAATCGTGTGTCTTCAAATTCTGAATGTTCATGATGCAACACGGAGCAAACTTCAGCTCCACTTTCCTCCTTGCTATGTAACTTATTGTGTCAAGAGAATGTACAGGATTGGCTTTCTTATCACACCAAAGTAGCACTTTTGGAAACATGCCATTGGCCCTTGTCCTCATCTACACTTATAAAATCTAGTTCAGTGTAACATGGAGAACTACTATTTTGTAGTTCATTAAATTTGTTCTTGCTTTTGACTTTTTTACTCAGGCATCAAGTAAATTTTTCACAGACTTAGAACTTCTTATACGTGTTATATATCAAGTTTATATGTCATAAATTTGGATATTTATATCAGTAAAATAGATAGGGATCAGTGGAAAAAAATCCTGTGGCTACTTAGGGAACCTAACATTCTGTTCTGCTAGATGCACCAATTGCATCAAAACCCAAATATTTTTGTCAATAATGCATTGTATTTAATTTCCTTTGCTTAAAAACAAATGCAATACAATTTTCCTTTTTGAAATATCACATGGAATGACAAAATATGGTTTGTAAACAGCCCACTAGACAATCATATTGCATCTACACTCTCATCTGAAGGATTGGGTTGACTGCACATTCTACATTTATTCCTCACGTTTAATTGTTTCAGTGGTAATCTGCTAGTTTGTGTTAATTAGTAAGATAAATTTATTACATGTTTAGTTTTTAGAATACTTGGTTTTGGATCATCAGTGTAGTGTTTTAAAGCTATTTGTGTTTATTTATTTATTCCACATTTATAGTTAAGTTACCAAGCACTTGTTTAGAGTATTCCTTGCTTTACACGTTTCTAGTTAAGTTACCAAGCACTTGTTTAGAGTATTCCTTGCGTTACACGTTTCTAGTTAAGTTGCCAAGCACTTGTTTAGAGTATTCATTGCTTTACATGTTTCTAGTTAAGTTACCAAGCACTTGTTTAGAGTATTCATTGCTTTACACGTTTCTAGTTAAATTGCCAAGCACTTGTTTAGAGTATTCATTGCTTTACACGTTTCTAGTTAAGTTACCAAGCACTTGTTTAGAGTATTCATTGCTTTACACGTTTCTAGTTAAGTTACCAAGCACTTGTTTAGAGTATTCATTGCTTTACATATTTCTAGTTAAGTTACCAAGCACTTGTTTAGAGTATTCCTTGCTTTACACATTTCTAGTGAAGTTGCCAAGCACTTGTTTAGAGTATTCATTGCTTTACACGTTTCTAGTTAAGTTGCCAAGCACTTGTTTAGAGTATTCATTGCTTTACACGTTTCTAGTTAAGTTGCCAAGCACTTGTTT